TTCATCTTGAGTAGGTTAACATCTACTTTTTTTTTGGCCTTTGCTTAATCTAAAGAAGAAATTGGTTAGAAAAGCAAACTAAATTTACCCTGTTCTAGATAGATACTATTTAAGATCTTTATACACGTTGAAATAGGTCTCTTTTGCCTAACACATTTTGCATCAAATAAAGAAAATTTATTTTAGATATTCAGTATGCCAAAAACAGTAACAAGTCTCACAATGGAGACATTACTGGACCCCCTCAAGCAAATTAATGAACAATGGGAGGATAGTACACCCCGCCACACTGGGCTAGGGGGACTAATTCTGGTGGTGCTCTTGAATTGAACCTGGGGCTCCTACATGCTAAGTATGCATTCCAGCTGACTGAAGTATCTCCCCATACTCAACTGATGGTGATTTCCATGTTTCTTATATCTCTTTTTCATTTTTTTTGACTGGATAGCACAGTGGGTAGGGTGTTTGCCTTGCACATGGCCAATCCAGGTTTGATTCCTCAGGCCCTCTCGGAGAGCCTGGCAAGCTACTGAGAGTATCTCGCCCACACAGCAAAGCCTGGCAAGCTACCTGTGACATATTCGATATGCCAAAAACAGTAACAAGTCTCACAATTTGTTGTGAGATGTTGCTGGTGCCTGCTCGAGCAAAATCGATGAACAACGGGAGGACAGTGCTACAGTGCTATTTTAAGTATTAATTTATTTTAAGTATTAATTTTTAAATTTATTTTAAGTATTAAGTAAACAAGTGACTGTATTTGTTTCCAGCCACGAGGAAGAAGCATGGATATATATATATATATATATATATATATATGTGTATATATATATATTATGAGTATAGAGAGGGGGGAGAGAGGATATATATGTCTATGTATAGGTTTATTACATATGCATAGTTTTTGTCATGTATGTATGTAATAGCAACGCAGAATACTCAGTTAAAATAATTTTAATTATTTTATGCTTCTGTGGCTAGATTTACCTAATTTCTTTATAGCTGAAGTATAAGAGATCATATTTAACAAATGTCGCTGTTTTCATTTTCAAATTGCATTTTAATTTATAACTAATACATGTTAAGTTTTATATGTAATATGACTGCAGTCATCATCAACAAGACTGCAGTCATGTCTATCCTTTTGCTGGGTACAAAATATGAGGTTACTATAAAACTTAATTATGAGGTATCTTAATACAACATTATTATTACATTTGAGGCTGTTTCACGATGTACAGAAAAATTATAAAGTATTGTTCACAGAGTATTTTTGCTTTCTGGGCATAGAGCACATGTTAAGAAGCTAGAAATGAAATATTGAGTGCCCACTTTAATAATATAGGTTTAATTTCTTCTCAGTATTTCCTAATGGATATAAACACTGGGGAAGAGCACCTTTGCTTATTATAAAAAGTTTTCTATCATACCTAGGCTCAAAATATATTATTGAAATAGAAGTACGGACTTGTCCCTATTACAAATTATTGTCAGGTTATGAAAATTGTGATCATTACAAGACATTATTATATTTAAGTGTAAAAGCTCTGAATTGCAATCTTTGTCACTGAGTGACATACTTTAAACAAAAAGTAATATCCCAAGTCTCTTTAGAAATATTAATGCTTAAAAACAATTTTATCTAGCTATGAACAATGAGGAAAAGCATTATAAAATACATTTGCGTATGCTATGAAGAGTATGAGCATAATACAGAATTAAATTTAGAGCAATTAAGAGAAGATTTGAAGGTATTTTCTTAAATGCTTTAATATAGTCATCATCATTTTAGCTTGCTGTTTTAATGATAAAAATCCATATATTCTGATGCTTTTGACAGGTAATATTAAATAAGTATGCATTATCCAGCAGCCTATTTGGTTACAGAAACGTTAAGGAGTACCTAAAAGTAAACATAAATAGTAACTTTAAGGATATTTTTGTCCTGAAGTATACTTTAATGGTGAGTGTTGTAATGTGCAAAAGTTTGAGGTTTTTCATACTACAGAAACAGTACTGTATTGAGACATTCCACCTACAGTTTGTGGTCATGAAAGTCTCATTAAAAGTGGTTTTGATATATGAAAGATCTTTGGATCAGTACCTTCTGTGTGGAACCTATTCTGTTATTCTGTAACCTGTTTCACAAGAAAAAGTACTAAATCTGCAGGTATATTTGCATAACTAAATTTGTATCTATATGTATGACATTTTATATACATTTAGTTAAGGGTTACATTTCTTTATTCTTTCCAAATATTATTCTTCATTTTGTTTGTCTTTAATATGAATCATGGTTCATCTGACTATCAAAATAAAGTCTCTAAAGTATAATAATAAGATATGAAAATAAGACATTAGCTACAATTTATCAGAAGCACTTTAGTATGATAACCAATGAATGTAAAACAGAAGGTAAGATACTGACATTTACTACAAAGAAAAATTGTCCCAATTGAGACATAAATAACATATCTAATATAATTGACTGCCTGTTGTCGACAGTATCTAAAAACAATACATTCTTCATATAATAGTAAGGATTCCATAGTTCTACTTTATCTACTTTTAGAGGAATTAAAATTCTTAAACAGCCTCAAATAGGAAACTCTTCCAACTATTAAAGCAGATAAATTCTGTAAGTTCTTCTTTCCTTGTAAATCACTTCTAAAAGGTGATAGAGCTAGTATTCATTGAGCTTCCACTTGGTAGCAGTGCCCTTGGTAATGTATACAGTATTTTTGTAGCCCTCAATGCCTAAGAGTCAATGTTAACAGAGAAAACTTAAACACAAAGATGTTAGCTGAATTTCTCACAACTAATAAAAAGCACATCAGCTTTCAGATACAGGCTCCTCTGAATCTTCATCCCATGTTCTTCCCTATAAAACATGCTGCCTCAAAATTGGAAGAGACAATCTGATCACGTTGAGTATAGAATTCTTCTAAAACAAACCTGCTTTGAGTTGCTAAACATGTACAGAAGTAGGTATCATGTAATTTAATAAATCATATTAATTTGGCTCTTCTAAAAATTATGCAGAAAAGTTTCCTCCTTGTTTCTTGATCAGTAGACCTCATAGTGTGTTCATAGACCCCCTCAAGGCACTGGGGATACAGATGTAAACAAGACAAATATTGCACACATCCTTGTAGAATCTACACTGGAATCAAAGGAAATAGGCACTAAACTTTCACACACAAAAGTGACAAATTAAAAACTATGAGAGTGCTCTTAAGGGGGGAAAAAAGGTGACGGTCAAATAAGTATTAATAAAAGCACAGAGAAACGAGGAGATGGGCGGTCAGGTTTTCTATCTGCTAGCCCTCAGTTCCTGTCAACACATCTATTTAGGTGTGTGGGACAGGAGGAGGGTGGATTCAAAGTTCACCCTGAGGTTTCTCATTTGGGTGACAGAAGTTTTGGTGAGCCGGGGAACCATCAAGAGGAGTAGATTTGAAGGTGAAGATAATGAGTTTGAGCTTGTGGGGAGTGGAGATTCCACGGATGTTCTGATATAATAGGGTGCAGAGGGCAGCCTTGGGGAGTTTGGAGACAAGGAGCAAGATAGGAGTGGGAACCTAGAGTAAGATGTTAGACAAAAATAGCAGATAAAATTCAGCTGACCTCAGCCCACTAGGTTTAATTTGAACGTGAGCAAATTGCTTAAATGGTCTCTGTTGAAAATAAAAGCTAAATTGAGTTAACGTTTCCCCAAGTATCTGCCTCAAAATCTACTTCTGAAAAAGACATGTGTGTCTCCGAATAAGCAAGTAATCAACGAAACAAAAGTCTGGTCTGCTGTGGGTTTGGGAAGCAGTTTAAATGAAGTTTGAAAAGTGCCTTTGCTTTTCATTCCAGTGTGCTTCATTTCCCAAAAGTTATTGGGACATGAGAGTTTTCTCTTAAGAAGTATTTTATGGAAATGATATTCCTCGGAAGACCTGCTGGGAAACACTGAACCATCTAAATGCTGATAATTAAAAATATCTCCAGGACTGGTGGCAGAGTGGAGCTTAGTCGAGAGGGCTGAAACTGGGGATAGTGAAGTATATATTTGCATTTGAGATGATTGGCAAGTTGGCCGAAAGTCACGGGGAAAGAGAGAGCTGTGTCGACAGACAGCTCATCAGCAGAAAAACAGTGGGAAGACTGAGGTTTTGAAGATTGAGATGAATTGAGGAGGGAATGATTCCAGACAAGGAGATTGTCTAGGACAGGAAGCTGATAGGGACATGAATGATACAGCCGCCTGAGAAATCGACAAGAAAGTGTGAACCTGAGAAACATTTTGAGGGACGGAATTATGGGACTTGGAAATAGATTAGATTAAAAGAAGAAAAAGCCAAAGATAACATACAGTTTCTGGCCTGGGAGAAGAAAGATACACAGAAGAATGAAACCAAAACCCTAACGGTATTATGGCTAAAGCATTTCCCTACTCCCTGCTAGATTTCTAGAAAACAAAATACAACAAAATACAACACTGTCTGGAAGTGCGGTCATAGGCCATCAAGTGTTTTTTCACTTACATAGCATGGAACTACGGACACAGACCTAAAATTCCATTTTCACAGTGTTATGGACAGTCTGAATGTGGTCAGATGTAGGCCCCAAATCTATCAGTAGACGTTAACCATGCTGAAATTAATTTTTTTGTTCAGTCTGCGCAGAAGAAGTAGGAACAGTTCTCCAGTCCCCTGCTTTAAAATGCCCTCCTTTAAATCTGGCTTTTACGGTGTCAACTTTCAGCAACAAGCCTGAAATCACACATTTTCCGATTCTAGGCAGAGATTCATTTTAGATGTATTTGTCTCCCCACCCCCAACGTGTTAGTGCCCAGTGCCCGGGGGGCGCTCTGATGACACCCTTTGTTTTACCTACAGGGAAAAGAAAGTCCTGTTTTTTTAAAAAAAAAAATGCATGAATTGTGTTTTCTTTTTACAAACACACACACACACAAAAAAAAAAACCTTCTTGCTTGCTTTTCTTTGCCCCAGGTGACATTTACGAAGAGGAAATTCGGGCTGATGAAGAAGGCTTATGAGCTGAGCGTGCTGTGCGACTGTGAGATCGCGCTCATCATCTTCAACAGCACCAACAAGCTGTTCCAGTACGCCAGCACGGACATGGACAAGGTGCTGCTCAAGTACACGGAGTACAACGAGCCGCACGAGAGCCGGACGAACTCGGACATCGTGGAGGTAAGCGCACGTGCAGCGCTGGGCCATCCTGAGCTGAGGCCTGGCCTGGCTTTGTCACCGCCCCCCCCACCACCACCGCACTCCCCCACCCCCCCGCTTTTACCCACGCATCCACCCCCACGCACGCACAATCTTGCTTTGGAGGCACGTGTTTATTCTCCCACTCGTTCCTGTTCCCATCACGCAAGTGAGTGAGAGCGTGGCAGAGACCGTCCACGAGTGTTCCTGACTAGCCCCAGCCCCATTGTGCGCTCACTCAGGAATTTCAACCTTCGGGAATCTTTGGGGCCCCCTTCCCCGTCTTCTCGAGTTGGAATCTGGACATGCCTTGCCCATCTTTCAAATTACTTCTGTTGGTTTCCTTTTTTTTTTTTTTTAATTTTTTTATGGTCTAGGTAAAGGGGTTACGATAGCGTAAAAGTTCACTGTGTGGATGTTCAAACTTAACTCTACCCTCTGCCACCAAGAGACTCAGGACCCTCCTCCACTGCCCCTATATCACCTCTAATTCAGTCTTCAATTCCCCCTCCAGTTTTCTCTCTGTTAATCTGTTTGGGGCCAAAGAGCACAAAAGTTAAGGCACTTGCCTTGTATGTGGCAATTGTGGTTTGAAGTGTGCCACCACATATGGACCCCTGAATGCCACCAGGAGTGAGCCCTCAGCACTGAGCTGTGAGTAGCCCCTGAGCACTATTGGATATTGCCCACCTGTCCCCTGCCCCAAGCCCTGCCAAATGTTGATTTATTTTTCAGATATAGGCTAAAGTATCCCATCATAGTCGATGCAAAATACAGTGTTTTAAAGAAATTCACCCCAAACATAAACTTCACTTTTATTACTTTATGTTTTGTCTTTCTACTTCATTCTTCCCAGTGCATTCTTGCTGGGAAAGTAAAAGCGATTATTCTCCTGGAAATGTTTTCCCATAAAATTATATCATTTAATATAGCAATGAAAACTGTTAATACACACAGCATCTGAAATCTGGTGAGAATGAATTTCTAAGCATTAACTTCGTGTTTTTTTTCAAATCAGATTTCAAACCTTGTTTTATTGTGCCAAAAATAAAAAAGTGTAATGTTAAGACTCAAATATGTTTGAGATTTGCTAGCATAACACTGCCACACAGTTTGGGTTTAAACTCTTAAAATGTTTCTAGCGTGTATCTTATTTAAATACTATTGCTTCATTGTCCCTTCATTGTGCCTCTTCCCAGACCAAAAAGGAAGAGGCATAATGAAGACTATGCCCATTTGTCTGTCTTCCTTACCACCCTGTTGTCTCATGGTTTCTCAGAATTAAGGAAAAATTACAAGTGTCTTCAAAAGTTTCATTCATAATCAGTTTGCCAGAGTAAAAGCCATTCTGCATTTGATCAAATTTTATGGGAAAAAAATGTTAATCCTGTTCAAAGTATCTGCCTCCCATATCCATCTTCCTTTTACCCCTTACAGTTGTCTGAACAGGTCTTATCTCTTTGTTTTTATCTAAAACTCTTCAAAACTATTGAACTGATAAGTTTTTCCTGACAAAGCCCAGCAAAGAATCTGAGAGAAACAAAATTGAATGACAAATTGACTTAATATGATATATTTCAGATTTGTAGTACTCACCATTACAGTTTCTTATTGACTTCTAATTGTGTGCTTGCCTTAATCTTGAAGTTTAAAATGATTTTTCACACTTAGCTGCTGTGTATTCCACATAGTATTTTATTCATGTATACATATAAATTTTAAAATATGTAAACAAACATCAATATGAAAGAGCTAGTTAATTTTCAAATCTTGTGGGTATTTTTGTGTTTGTCTGCACTGGCATTTAACATTTAACCATTTAAACATTTACCATTTAATCTATGTACATACACATTTAACCTAAGTCCCAAGCACACACACACACACATGTAATTCTATATTTATAAACCATCCTCTTACCAAAACTGTTACAACAAACATGTCAGGGTAACAAAAGAAGTCATTAACATGGAGTGAAATCCAGTAGGATCATATTAGCTTAAAATTAAAAATGGTTGGGGTTGGAGCAGTAGTACAGCAGGTAGAGTGTTTACATACAGTCGATTTCCAAAATCCTGTATATTCCCCATTGCACTACTAAGAGTGATTCCTAAGTGAGAGCCAGAAGTGAACCCTGAGCATCAAAAAATTTAAAAGAAACTTAAATGAAAATAGTTACCAGATTCTTTACTTATTTTATTAAACAAATATTTAATAATCTTCTTATTTGATCTATCTTTGGTTTATAATATTATGGAATTTCAAGAAGATTGAATCAAACTACCCAATGTGTAATCTGCCATCAAAGTCCTGGGCCATTCCACCACCTAAAATATCCCCCATCCTCACTCCACTTTTTCTCAGGCAACTCCCATTGTTCTCATAGAGCCTAGGAGTTTGTTCTTTTATTTATTTCCAGGTTTATTTATTGTTTACCCTTTGGTTTTTCATATCCTCATGTGTGAAAATATCAGTCATTGCCTTTACCTACTTTGCTACTCAGCTCAATCACTCAAGATCCATCTGTTGGGCCAGAGAGATTATATAGGAGGAAAAACACCTCCTTTGCATGTCATGACTCAGTTCCCGGGCACAAAATGTAGTCACCCAGGACCACCAGTGATCACTCCTGAGCTGAGCATAGAGCCAAGAATAGCCCTAAGCACTACAGGGTGTGAAACACCCTCTCATCCCATCACACACCCCCACCCCCATCCATTTTATCCATAAGGTTTTATTGTAATGGCAGGGAAGTATTCAATTGTTTGTATATACTGCGACTTCTTTATTCAATCATCTGTCACTTCGTTAGTTTTATTGGTTGTTTCCATATTTGGTTACTGTAATACTGCTATGAACAAATATCCTTCTAAACATTCTCATATCTTTTGGGTATATGGTCTGGGAAAGATGTACTGGGTCATGGGAGTATTGTCATTTATATTTTTATCTTGCTATAGAACCTCCATACCATTTTTTATAGAGACTGCACCAACTTATAGTACCATCAGTGGTGTACCAGGATATCTTTCTCTTCATATTCTTGCCAACGCTTGTTCCTTCCAGTCTCATGATTGGAAGGGAGTCGAAAGATACAAAATTCCCCTTGTAAAGGCTTTGCTGAGAATAATATGTGATTTAATAATGACAAAAAACATACTCTTAAGACTTTCATGAGACTTCACATACTTTGGGGTCTTTCATGTTCTTGGGCAGTTGGATATCTGAAACAGATTTCTGGTTCTCTTGCTGTTTTCCTTTTACTTCCACTTTTCTCATCTCAAAAATGAAGGCATTGATTTAAAAGTTTTTAGAATTTAATTCTTTGAAAAGCAAAAGGCAATACTTTAAAAGAGGGTAAAGCAACATCTCTATTGACTTGCACTTAACATCCCTAAATTAAAGCTCTGAATCTCTGAAAAGACATTTTGGGTTTCTTAGGTCAAATCCAGAGCTTTGATAGCCTAAAATAGAAAATCTTTGGATAAAAAAAATACGTAGTGAGTTTGCCTTACTCGACTGCCACAATCACACATTTTCCACCTATTTAACTTTTTCCCATTTTAATAAAAATAGAGATGATGGAAAGGGATAAGGGGTAAAATTCTTATGCTTCATTTCATGAAATTTGCCTCACCAAAAAAGTGTTTTCACAGTATCAGTTCTTTGAAATTAATGTAGTAGAGATTCTTGGAGAAGAAGTGGAAAACTGAAGCTGCATTTGTAAGAAGTTTCCTATAGCAATTTTCTCTTCGGTGTTAGGGATCGAATTCAGGGCCTCATACATTTAAGGTATACACTCTTTAGTCAAGCCACATCCTGGCTTCCCACATGATCCTCATACACACTAGATTTTAAAATCTCTGCAGCATTTAAGACATAAATTATGTTGAAGGCTGAGAACCTGTGGGACATAAGGGACTTGAGAAATTTGTTCTAGAATGGCTCTAACATGAAGTTGAGAGTTTAGGTAGTTTACTACTCTCGGGTAAAATTTTAAATCCTATTTATTTTAATTTAATGGAGTACATTTAACTGAGTAAGTTTAATGAGGAGCATAATATGTTTCATGAAGGGTCATTAGTTTTATATTTCCCATTTGGACTATTACCCCCTCTCCCTTAACCTTCTGAAAACAGTTTACTCACAAGAAAAAAAAAAAGATCGGTCGGGAGAGAGAAATAATATGATTCTAGCAGTTAAGACTGAAATAAAAATTTCTGGGCCATACCAGAGTAGTGTTACAGGGTCATAGGAAATTGTGCAGTGTGTGGGTGTTGAAAAAGATTCCTTCTTTTAGCAAAAAAAAGCTCTGCGTAATTATCATGTCTTTGCTTGATAATTAGCACTACTGTTACAATAGCACAAAGACTTACAAAGACTTAACAGACAGACTGAGATAGTTTTTTTTATTATTATATTATAATGCCGCTTGAATATCTGTTTAGGTACAATACATAAATATGCCAGACTTAGTAAATCTGTTAAATTTTTAATCCATTGGTTAAAAAAAAAGTTATTTCATTTTTTAAAAAAGACCTTCCTTTGAAGAAAGTCCATTTTATTTAAGTTTCTGACAAGTATACAGGATACTCACCCAAAAAGTGAATAGCTGAGACTGTTGTGAAATTCAACAGAAATTCTGATGCCACTAGGCAGCTGCCCCTTAACTTTCCCAATGGTCTAGCTCTACTCCTGACTGTCTTGCTCAGCTGCTTTCTGACCCTGGCAGTTGGGGTATTGAGCACTTCAGAGTGTCCTGAAGATCACAGATTCCACAGGACTTGCTTCCAAGCCATTCCTCTTAGCAATGATTTAGCAAGTGCTGACTTATGCTTAGCCTTGTGCATGGGATTCTGAAATAGTAGAAGACAGGCATTCTTGTTGAGGATGTAAGAACATATCAAAATCAACTTGGGACCAGTTGGAGGAACATGGAGCATTGAGCACAGCTCCTGAAGTGAAAGGCCTCCATACTCAGA